ACACACACACACACACACACACACACACACACACACAAATACATAAAACTTTTCTACCTTTTTTATTAATTTAATATTTCATATAATATATTTGTCAGGTTTGGTCTAATATTCAATAATTATTATGAATACTGAAAATAAAAAAGGCAGAAAAAGCTCTATAAAATATTTTTTTTGCTTCATCCAGTCTGAATGCTTCACTTAAGTGTTTTTCTCTTTCGTATGCTTCCCATCAACCCACACTCCTAAACAGGTGCCTTTATTTAGCTTTATTTTTGTCTTTTTCCCCATTCAACCCATTGAGACTGAAATGGGTTTATCTATTTAGCTGCTGAGGTAATGTTCCTGTTACAAACGCTCAAGTAAACATAGCTACAGCGAGGAGGGAACTGAAACCAGTGCTTGAGTGATTTTGTTACAGTGTCAGAGCGTGTGGCGATTAAAGTGCTACAGCGCTGCCTGGAGCCAGAGAATTTGTCGCTGGTGTCTGACTCCTACACAGTGAACATGGCAGAGAGCCGCAGGGCATGAAATGAGCAGCTCGTGCTGTTATGCAGGGGTCAGAAGGGTGGATCCACATTTAATCCCCATTATGTTCCACTTATAGGTGCGGGACGCAGGTTTAAACATGACGGGAAAAAGGTGTGACAACACTGAAATGAATCACGTCAGTCAGTTCGTGTTTTCTTTTTATCGTCTGTCCTGTTTGGGAGGCACCTTTTCTTAAAACAAAAAAAGATTTGTTCTGTAGAAATGAAAGTGGAAGCATTGCAATGGCAGTGGGACAATGGCAGATGGGGGAAATGTTCAGAAAACCTGTTTTATATTTAGAACGTTTTTTTTACAAAGAGTGCTTTTTGGCTGAAAGTTGTCTTTGAGGTTAAGGTTTCTCATTCTACACTCCTGCATGTCTTCTTCAGTGGCGATCCAGTACCAAACACAGTACCATATTGTTAATCATACAAAATGCATTTCAATGGTTTTACGCACTTAGCAGCCAATAGTTTACCATGCAAATAAACCTTGCGAATGTCACAAATCATGGGGATGTCACGCAACCTGTACAAGTGACAGACAAATTTGTGCCAACTGGAGCTCAATACTAATCATACTAACTCAATACTAATAAAAAATAATCATGATTTCGATTTTTGCCATAATCGAGCATCCCTACTAACAGGCCAAACTTTGACGCCGTGATCACAACCCATCCACTGCTTTACAAAACCTAAAAAAGGTTATTTAGCCCTAAAAATGGCTCTTGCCACTCAAACTCTAAGCTGATGCCATTTACAGACTTGAAATTTCCTAAAAAGCTTCCTGAAAAAAAAAAGTAAACTGTTAAACCGTTATATTCATAAAAGATAACGGAAAGGAAAGATGCTACATGTACTAAATTCTCAAACAGCCAAGTAACTATAGCTTGTTGATTGTTGATAACAAGTCTCTGTGAGATGACAAACACAGTCTTCATCCCATCTAGACGTCATTTCATCAGCCGTGAACACAACACAAGGAGGATCAAAGCCTCCAAAATATGCCAACGTCCTGAACAGCAGTGTCTTACCGGAGGGAGGTCGTCATTCCGAGTGAGATTCAGACCAGGGAAGTCAAAGTCGTTGAGACCATTGGGAAAAAAATCAGTGGCCATGTCCAATGGGCCGTTGATAAGCTGCTGCCTGAGAAAAAGAGACAGAAGAAATGTAAGAGCAGCATTCAGAGTTTCATGATGGATCACGAGTAGAGTAAACAGACGGGCAAAAAAGGAAGAAGGAAATTCACCGTTTCGTGTCATAAAAACAGTCACATCCTAGTGACAGCAATGGGATCGATAAAGTCACGGTGGGACATAAAAAAGAAAAACAAACCCACATAATGACTTTATAAGTGAAAATTATAAACAAGTCGATGTAAAAGACAAAGAGACCATATAATAATGATTACATTTTCATTTCTACTGTTTAAAGGAGACATATTATGCCCCTTTTTACAATATGTAATATAGGCCTCTTTGATATGTAATCAAAGTCTCTGGTGTCCCCAGAATGTGTCTGTGAAATTTCAGCTCAAAATACTCCACAGATCATTTATTATATCATTTTGAACATGCCTATTTTGAGTGGAAGCAGAAACACGCTGTTTTTCGGGCCTGTCTCTTTAAATGCAAATGAGCTGCTGCTCCCCGCCCCCTTTTCCTGAATAGAGCTGCGCCATTACAGCTCGGACCTGCTAAAAACATCTGTTTTGGTTCTGATTATCATGTTTATGGCGCTGAAATCATGCGTTTTAAACCATATGAGTTTAAACTTCTGATATACGGTTTTCTGAGGGCACACATCCGAAGCACACGGACAGAAAGCGGCTCTCACAGGCATGTGAGTACTAAACGAAGTTCTCATTCACACACAAGTTTATGTTAAAAACACACGAGTTACAAAAAACAGTCGGTTATGTCTGTGAAGGTAAACAGCTGGGAAATAAATCGCATGTTTATTTTAGATCTGTGTGGCAGCAGTAATATACAGTAAATAAATCAATCCACTGCTCTCTTGTCTCCTCTGAGGCTGGGACTCTAAACAGTGTTCTGTGCTCGTCTGTGCAGCCAAAGACAGAACAGTTAGCATATTTTGCTCAAAATTTCACCATGGCATTAGAACTGGTACACCGTTGTCGCTTGCGAAAACACAATAACAGCACCGTGGGTGTAAACTTACAGATGGAGCGAAATCTGAAGCGCTCGTTTTCTCAGACGCTTGCAGAAAAAGGCTTACCAAAACAAAGTTACTGGGTTAATCTTTTTCACGTTTCCTTGGTTGGTAGATGCAC